TTTTGTATTTTTAGTAGAGACGGGGTTTCACCATGTTGACCAGGATGGTCTCGATCTCTTGACCTCGTGATCCACCCGCCTCGGCCTCCCAAAGTGCTGGGATTACAGGCTTGAGCCATCGCGCCCGGCCCTGACAGGTGGTTCTTATTAATAAATACACAGATGTTCTGCATATACACGTAACTCAGGAATACCAGGTAGGCAGCTGTTACCCGCCTACCACTAATTACAAACTAAAAGTAACTTCCACGGGGGAGCCGTGGGGGCAGGGTAAACTGAATGTTTCTCAACAATTCATTATACTGCATGTTTTTAAATTACTAAACTTTTGTCTTTTTAGGCAATTTTAGGTTCACAGCAGTTCCCATCTTCTTCACCCACTCCTCACCCCCACCCCCGCCCCGGCCATGCATAGCCTCCCCTACTGTCAGCATCCTGCACCGGAATCTGCATGTACATTGACACATCATCATCCAGAGTCTACAGTTTACATCAGGGTTCTCTCTTGGTGTTGTACATTCTACATACGCTTATATTTGATCGAGAGCAGTGTTTTTCTGAAAATCCATGGTTGGTTTATTTGTTTATTTGAGGCAGAGGCTCGCTCTGTCACTCAGGATGGAGAGCAGTAGTGTGATCTCAGTTCACTGTAACCGCCACCTCTTGGGATCAGGCAGTTCTCTCACCTCAGCCTCCCAGGTAGCTGGAAGTATGGGCAGGAGCCACCACACTTGACTAGTTTTTAAATTTTTTTGTAGAAACAGGGTTTAACTATATTGCACAGGCTGGTCTTGAACTCCTGGCCTCAAGTGATCCTTCTGGCTTGGCCTCCCAAAACATTAGGATTACAGATGTGAGCCAGTGTGCCCCGCTCATGGTTTTATTTTAGTTGCTTAGAAAGATACTATGTTTTCATTAAAACTATCTGCATGAAAATTGGTAATTTTTAAAAAGGCTCTGGTTTCTGGGCATTTTAAATGTAGGAATTTAAGCTGATAGAGGGATTTTAGAGAGTTGGAAAGAAATGTAAAGAGCAGAACTGGGCTCCCTTTGTGATCTGTTCAGAGGGAAGACTCAGCAGAGCAGGTTCCTGCATTACCTGAAGGTATGCCTATTGCATCTGTTTTCCTTTAGTGCCTCAAAAACATTGAAGTTAGTTAGGCTTAGAAAAATATCAGATTGTTGATGCTCAAACACTCGGAGTTTACAAAAAGCACATTGCCCTACATTATTTTGGTGGAGCCTCCTGGTCTCCAGTGCCTAGCAAGGCAGGTGGTATCATTCTGGCTTCACAAACAAGGAGACTGCGGCCAGATCTCAAGCCCAGCCCTCTGCCTTGCATCCAGTTTTGCCTTCCTGCCCCTCCTCTGCTCTGTGGTAGCTAGGCTCCCACCCACATTTAAGTTACTAGGCGTTGGATTTAGTCAGTAACCCGTATTGTAAGAAATGGATACTTGAAATGTCTACCCCTTCAGGACACTTTTGAGAGGTAGAGCTGCAGTCGTCACTTGAGGGTCTGCTCTGGGTGAGGCCCTTTTCCTCATCGTGAACTTGAAAGATCAGTGTGACAGTTTCTCCTGAGATAAGCAATCCCATCTGAAGGGGATAGTCTTTTTTTGGGTAGATTCAGGGTCTCCCTATGTTGCCCAGGCTGTACTTAAACTCCTGGGTTCAAATGATCTTCCTGCCTTGGTCTCCCAAAATGCTGGAATTACAGGTGTGTGCCACCAGCTCCAGCACCCCCATAGTCTTTTAATTCCTCAGATTTTAAAACAAGTTATAGCTGTAATGTCTGGTTTTCTTTCTCATTTGTCCACTGTTTTATGGCATCCGCATGCCTGGTCCCACACCTGAGCACTGAAGAGCAGGGTCTCTGGAGCCTGGCATCATGGGGTGGCCCCCAACTTCCCCACTCACGGTGGGAAGGTTCCTTAGTCTGAGCCTGTTTCCTCATCCATTGCCTGAGGATAAACCTGCTTCAGGATTGTTGGTGAAAAGGCTGCCCTCACCCAGCCTCTGTAATGCCACTGCATACCACCACTGCTTAGTACTGTTTGCTGGGTTGGTGTCATTCTCATTTTACCAAAAAGTGAGGCTCAGAGAGGTCAGACAGCCACTAAATGGCAGACCTGGGATTTGAAACCAGAGCTCTGCTCAGGGGTCGACCGAGTGCTCCCCAAAGGCCAGATGGTAAATACTGCAGGCTTTCCAGGACTTCAGCTCTCTGGCAGCTACTCAACTGCTGCAGCTCCACAGTAGCTACATACAGTATTAAACATGCAGGGTGGCTTTGTGCCAGCAAAGCTGCATTTGCAAAACAGGCAGCATCCTGGTCTCGGCCCTCGGGCTTATAGTTGCTGAGCTGACCTGTGTTCCGTTGCCTTTTTTTTTTTTTTTTTTTTTGAGTTGGAGTCTTACTCTGTCGCCCAGGCCGGAGTGCAGTGGCACGATCTCACCTCACTGCACCTTCCGCCTCCCAGATTCAAGCGATTCTCTTGCCTCAGCCTCCCAAGTAGCTGGGATTACAGGCGCTCACCACCACGCCCAGCTAATTTTTGTATTTTTAGTAGAGATGGGGTTTCACCATATTGATGAGGCTGGTCTCAAACTCCTGCCCTCAGGTGATCCACCCACCTTGGCCCCCCAAAGTGCTGGGATTACAAGCGTGAGCCACCATGCCCAGGCTCCCATTGCTTTTTCTCTGAAGAGACTTTAAGACTTGGAGTCTGGTTTAAAACAAACAAACAAAAAAATCTGCTGGTTGGAATGGGAGATGTAAAATCTGAATTCACTGTAGGGTCACAATTCCAGCCTCAAGTTTGCACTGCGCCTTCCTGGTGCTGGCGGGGTGCATGTTCTGCCTTTACCACTGGGTGGAAGCAGTTGGTAACCATAAACCTTTTGCTTTGCCGGGTTAAAAGACTGAAAAGAACCATAGAACCTTTAAGCATATATAGCCAGTTTAAGCCCTGTCTGCACTGTTTTAGCTACAAAGATACTGTCAAGTGAACCATTTACAGTTGTGCTTCGTGTTGTTCCACTCTCAGCCATGCGTCTCACGGTCGCTCCGGAAGACCTAGCCCAGCCCGTTTCTAGGTTAGCATTTGAAATGGTCTTGGCCTGGTTTAACCATCAGTAAATGAGGCCAGATTATGAAAACCTTTTTCTCTCAAACTAGGGATCCTCTTTTTCTCTACAATAGTTAAATTGAAAATTTTTGATGTACTCTATTCGTTTATTTTGGTGGGTGACCTGATTTTTAAAATTTTTTAGATTAGTCAAGCACAGTAGTGAGAAGGGGAGAAAGAGTAGAACAAGGAGTATCTGAACGATCAGTTGAGACAACTCACCACCTTCTACCAGCCGGGAGTAACTGACTGTGAGCCATCAATTGAGATACTCACCACGTTCTACCAGCCAGGAGTAACTGACTGTGAGCCATCAATTGAGACAACTCACTGCCTTTGACCAGCCAGTGGCTTGTTTTTTTAGTGGTGTAGTAAGACATAAAGTTCCTGTAGTCATTGTTAATCTCCTTGGAAAAGAGATGAATATTGTTTGGTTTCAAAAGCTCATTAATATAGCAGAAGCACTCTGTTTCTGTTGGAAGGGAGATTTTTGGATGAATTTTCCTGTGTTCATTGAACAAATGTTTCCTAAGCTCTTCCTTAGTGCCTGGCACTGGGAACAGAAAAAGGAAGAAGAGGAAGCTGTGCCCTCGGGGTGTTCTCAGGCACAGTGGTGAGCTCTGGTGGCGAGAGCCGCCTGCCTGCCTGTGTGGCTGGTGCATCAGGATAGAGCAGGAGTTCACGGAGGAGCTTTGTCACTTCCCCCTCCCTAAATCTGTTCTGTGTCCCACGTCACTGAGTGGTTCAGCATCACCCAGTCACCTGGGACAGATAGCTGTGAGTCATCCTTGAAGCCTCCTCGCCTAGTCCTTCATTGCAAACCTTCATTTCCTCTGGATCACTGTCACCAGCCTAGTGCAGGCACCACCAGCTCCCACCCAGACAGCAGGTTCCTTTTCTTCTCCCTTCTGGTCCCAGCCTAGTCTCTGTGCAAAGGCCAGACCGAAGAGGCCTCCATGCTCCGTGACATGGAGTTCAATGTGACCTTCAGGTGCTGGAGAGTTGGCAAGGGCTTTCCATGGGGAACTGGCTATGCCCCACTTTGCACTCAGGAGAGTTAGCTTTTGGGTGCTCGGATGGGTTGAAGGGGTACACAGCTGGAAGGGTGAGCTATAATCATGCAGAGATTCTTCCCCTTTAAAGCAAGGGAAAGGTACAGAAAGGAGATCAAGTCGAGAATGGTGCTTGTTGGCCTTGACCTCACTCTTCAGGGGCACCTCCTTTATGCCGTGGATATCGTTGGCCAGACGGACTGTTGAAGGCCCAGCCCCTTTAAAGAGCAAACAATAAACAATGAAATGAAACGTTTATAGATTGTGATAGATTGTGCCAATTCTGGGAGGGCAGTAAATAGGATGCAGTGATAGAGTCAACAGAGGAACCTAATTTGGGGGGGTGGGGGTGGTCACAGATACCCTCTCTGAGGGGTTTTTGTTGATGCCCAAACTGAAACCAAAGGGGCAAAGCACTGCAAAAAGCTGGTCTCTGGGTGGAGGGAGCAGCCCTTGAGCTCTTCCTGGAGCAGGAGAGAACCTGTTGTATTCAGTAAGGGAAACTCCAGGTGGGAGAGTGATAGGGATGGGTATGGGGAGGGAGGTTAGGCCCTGTGTGCAGTGGGAGAGACTGGTGACTACCTGCTGTGGAGGGGCAGAGCTCAGGGCATTCATGCTTAAGAATCCCAGTTTTCATATTATGTTTGCCAAGAAATAGCCAACTGGCGGGCATGGTGGTGTGAGGATGCAGAAGGAAAGTAGTTTTTGAGAATGAATGTTGTTTCTACTTGCACACACACATGCATACCTGCTGTGCTGTGGTTGTTTTTGAGGCATCAGGGTATGTGTTGCCACGTGTTGATCCCGGTGGCTTCTGCCTTCAGCGTTACTGTACCCAACTCATGCTTCCTCCAGCACTTCTGAATTGACAGTTGAGCTTTGTTGTAAAATAGTGATGTAACTGTCATTTACTGACACTCCCCCAACACTTAAAAGTTTAGCAGCTGCGTTTAACTTTCACATATTTCATTCTGACTGGTTTCTCTCAGCCTTTGCTCTACACAGTTTTAAAAATACTTTTGTGGAGGGCTTTTAAGAGCTTGGAATGCTGAGTAGATGTTTTTGAATGGCTAGTTACGTGCTGTAATAGTGAGTTGAATTGGTAAGTAATCTTTCTTGTCACATAGCCCATTAGAATGTCACCTTTTCTGTTTCTGCTTTGCAGGTCATTACACCTACTCTGAGAATCGGGTGGAAAAGGACGGCCTAATTCTTACAAGCCGTGGGCCTGGGACCAGCTTCGAGTTCGCGCTTGCAATTGTTGAAGCCCTGAACGGCAAGGAGGTGGCAGCTCAAGTGAAGGCTCCACTTGTTCTTAAAGACTAGGGCAGCAAAGTGTGACAATCACCTAGAGAAACAGGCCTTAGGAATCTATTCTCACTGTGTTCGCTCTGAACAGAACAATGGTAGGTTAATGTGTTCCTAAGCTGCCCTCATTACTGCTTTTGTGAAGTATAGTTGTGAAGTCATAACTACACAGAGATCTTCCAACCTACAAATTGTGTCTATACATTTCTAAGCCTTGTTTGCAGAATAAACAGGGCATTTAGCAAACTAATGATCGTTCCCTGTTTTGTCTCTCATTTCTTTTGTGAAATTCCTTATTACCTTTGTTTGCAACTCTTAACGGTCCAGCAAGGAGGAAAAGCATACAAGTAGAATTTTAAGAGGCTTGTGATTTTCTCCGCTTATTAGCTAGGTGTTTTTAATATGCTAGTAAAAAATACCAATGAGGGCTAGGTGTGGTGGCTCATGCCTGTAATCACAGCACTTTGGGAAGCCCAATCAGGAGGATTGCTTGAGGCCAGGAGTTCAAGACCAGCCTGGGCAATATAGCAAGACTCCATCTCAACAAAAAAATACAAAAATTAGCCAGGCATGGTGGCATGCACCTGTAGTCCCAGCTACTCAGGAGCCTGAGGTGGGAGGATCGCTTGAGCCCAGGCCCTCAAGGCTGCAGTGAGCTGTGATCACACTGCTGCACTCCAACCTGGATATAGCAAGACCTGATATAGCAAGACCCTGTCTTCAAAAAAAAAAAAAAAAAAAAAAAAGATTGGCTGTCCTGGTGAATTTTTTTACACTAGTTCCTTTTTCCATTATGGAAAGAGTCCTTGGATAAAAACTTTTTAAGGTTGGCCCAACATCGCTTTTCCCTTCCCCAGGTGATAGCATCCAGCATTCCTTGTGAACCACTCAATTCCTCCTGGGTGGGCACATGACCCAGACCCAGCCAATCAGAGCCTTGTTTACCTCTGGCCATGTGACCCAGGTGAGATCAGTCAGTCCACAAGACTCCACTGGAGTGTCTCATAGCTGCTGTACTCTCTCTCTGCTGGAGTGGCCAAGGGGATACTCTGGCAACCCGGAGCATTGGCAGCCATCTCACTGCCAGCGAAAGGCCTACCTGGGGGTGGCCCTCAGAGTGTAGGTGGCTGACGGTGGTCCAGAAGGCCAGGCAGATATTAACTTTTACAAGTGCAAACACATGTAATTGTCTATTTTATAAGTGCTTTTACAGATGTTAAAGAATACCAAGGGAGAGACAATTTACATGGTGGAGGTGGGTGGGGTGGGGCTTCTGAGGAAGTGACGTCTGAGGCAGGAAGTAAGAGCAGTGCTTAGGTTTTCATTCCTTCCCCAGCTGTGTGCTCAGTTAGTACCTACTGTGTGCCAGGTGCTGTTCCTGGTGCTGGGAATACACCAGAGAGAAACACAGCCTTTGTCCTTGGGGAGTTTACTCCGTGGGCGATGAAATGAAAGCAAATACTAAAACACCCACATGCTATGAAGAAAATGAAGGAGGGTAAGGAGGCAGTGACGGGGGAATTGCATGATGGGCAGCGAAGGCCTCTTTGAAAAGAAATCTCGGGGAATCTGAGGACATTTGGGTGTGAAAGATACAAGTAGGTGTCTGTTCAGAGTGTACCAGGCAGCAGGAGCAAGGAGTGTAAAGGCCCTGAGGTAGGAGTGGGCCTGGGCCTCTGTGATGGAGCACAACCTGCGGAGCAGCGAGGGGCGGGTTAGGGGAACGTGGTAGGAGGTGAAGTTGGAGAGGTAGCTAGGGCCACAGCAAGCTGTCAAGACTCAGTAGAGACAGAACCACTGGAGAGACCTAACCCACCTGGTTTAAAGGCTGGCTCTGCTCCTTCCGGAGCAGGCGTGCAGGCAGGCGGGATGCTGAGGCCAGTCAGGTGGCAGCGTTGGGCACCTACTCGGTGTGAGAGGAAGGGCATCTGGGGCAACACCCACTTTTCTTTTTGAAACAGTCTTCTTGTCACCAGCCTGTTTGAAACAGGCTGTAGTGCAGTGGTGTGATCTTAGCTCATTGCAACCTCCACCTCCCAAGTTCAAGCGATTCTCCTGCCTTAGCCTCCCGAGTAGCTGGGATTACAGATGTGCACCACCATGCCCAGCTAATTTTTGTATTTTTGGTAGAGACAGGGTTTTCCCATGTTGGCCAGGCTGGACTCGAACTCCTGGTCTCAAGTGATCCGCCTGCCTTACCCTCCCAAAGTGCTGGGATTACAAGCATGAGCCACCATGCCCAGCCACAACCGCTACGTTTCTGACTTGAACACAGATCATGTGGAGATTTGATGTCCTGAGTTTTGAAGGAGTCCTTGGGAGAGGGGCTGGGATGAATTTAGAGTTCAGATTGGTGAATTTCAGATGTCTGCAAAATACATTTTTTTTTTAGACAGAGTTTTGCTCTGTTTCCCAGGCTGGAGTGCAGTGGCACGAACTCAGCTTACTGCAATCTCTGCCTCCTAGGTTCAAGCGATTCTCCTGCCTTAGCCTTCTGAGTAGCTGGGATTACAGGCGGGCCCCACCATGCCAGGCTATTTTGTATTTATAGTAGAGATGGGGTTTCATCATGTTGGTCAGGCTGGTCTCAAACTCCTGACCTCATGATCCGCCCACCTCAGCCTCCCAAAGTGTTGGGATTACAGGCGTGAGCCACCATGCCTGGCGGATACCTGTTATTTGAAAGTCACAAATTGCTGATCTGAAAACCATTTATTACTAATAGTGAACATCTGTAACCTCTCTCAGGTTTGCTACGTGTTTTGCCAGCATCCCTTACCTCTGAATAATTATGCTCCTTGGAATTTTAGAGACATCTACAGGAAGGGAGATATTGAAAGACATTCGCTGAGTTTTTGTGCCTTTAGGGCAGCAGGAAAAGATGTTTCTACTTGGAGGTTTCTAAAGAGCATCTCTAACAGAAATCAGTGTTATCAGAGCCCCGGCATTGCAGTGAAGATTTCTTTCCCTTTCCCTGACAGTGTCTGGGGTGGGGGCTCTAGAAACCAGCTTTGTCTAAACCTTGGGCTTTTTCTGGTCCTTCTTGAATGACTAGCTTTTCGCATGTTGATAACATTTTTAAAGCCTCCACCCTCTCTTATCTGCCTGCTTCTTTCCCAGGCTGAACAAACTTGCTTCCTAACTTCTAGTAAGCAGGGAGGGGGCAAACAAAAATTGGGAACTTAAGTGGGAGGGGCGCTGTCTACACTTGAAAAGTGACCTGGAGTCAGAATTCAGGTGTGTGGCAATTAGCTTGATTGCTCTCCTCCTGAGTTGGGGTGGGGGCGGGGCCTCTGCCATCTTAGAGACAGTAACAGTTGCTTTGAGAGCCCAACTGGCTTGCCCAAGGACCCCAGAGAGTTAGGAAGGAGACCTGAAACTTCCTCTTTCTGGAAGAGCACCCAAGCCTCCAACTAACTCAAAGCCACGGCTTGCCCCACTGGGCAAGGGGCAGCCAGGTACCCATTAACTGAATTCCTGAGGCCAAAGACAGAGTTGCTCTAGGGCTGTCATGGCCCTGCCCTGTGCGCTTCCGAATGGAAGTTTGCTACCCAGGTGCTAACTGGTTTCATAGGGAAAGGGCCGGGGTTACTGACCCCTGCCTGCCATGTGGCCTGCTAGGAGCTTAACTTCGTGGGTTAGGGCTGAAGATGTGTTTTCTTTCACAACTTATACAAAAGGATCAGATTCTATCCAAAATCCCAAGAGGGATTGCATTCTGCCCCTGCTTTTTCATTTACCATATCTTAAGAGAGCTTCCCTCTGTCAGTATGTGGACATTTATGTGCCGCATCATCCAACTCTGTCCAAACAATAACCCTAGAAAGTGGCCATTGGTATCATCCATTATAGAGAAGAAAGTCTTTCTAGAGGTCAACAGCCTACTGGGCCTATGCCATAGGATCCATTTCTGTAAATCCAACATTAAATGTAAAGTACGATTTTAGGGTAGCCAACCGTATCATCTGAGTCTAGTTACTCCATATTCTAGGGTGTTGGTTTCCCAAGAAATGAGAACACCATATTCTCCTGCAGCCGGTTCTCCTGCAGAATCATCTGGTTGTTTTTTTTTAGAAAGCACCCTGCCTTTGCCCTTAGTAAAGGGAAGCAGCAGCAGGGACCTGGGCATCCAAGGCACGCTAGAGAGGTCTGGGCTGCTCTCAGACTCTTCCCTGTTTATTAGCTACAGCATTTTCCCCATGCACATGTGTGGTCTGTCAACATGGTGCAGAGGAAGGGGCTGTTCCTTTTCACATCTGGGCGGGACACACTCTTCACAGTACTAGCATAAGGTCCTTCTGGAGCTGGTCCTTTCCCTAGACCCTAGCTTGAGTCCCAAGGCATCCAGGCTGGGGCCAAGGGCTCCTATGGGACTGAGCACTAAGGAAGGTCTTTAGCACTGGGAAGAATGTGAATGTTGCATTCACCACCATTACCATCACCATCACCAGCAGCATCATCATCAACATCCCCACCGTCATCACCACCACAGTCACCCTCACCACCACCATCATCACCACTATCACCCCATCATCACCATCACCAC